GCTCAATAACTTTATATTAAATGTGAATTTTGTAAATCCAACCGTTAGATGAAAAGTTCATATCTCGTAGATCATATATGTCAAATTTTGTTAAAATTGAACAACAACTTGAAGGTAATCAAAGTGTTCATATTTTAGTATATTTTGAAATGTATATATTACGTCAATTTTGTTTTATGAGAATGAAGTATCAAATCATCTTAGATTAATATAAAATTTGATATATATGATCTAAGAGATATGAACTTTCGATCTAACGGTTGGATTTACAAAATTCACATTTAATATAAAGTTATTGAGCCGTGTAACACTTAAATGTGAATTTATATTAAATGTGAATTTTGTAAATCCAACCGTTAGATCGAAAGTTCATATCTCTTAGATCATATATATCAAATTTTATATTAATCTAAGATGATTTGATACTTCATTCTCATAAAACAAAATTGACGTAATATATACATTTCAAAATATACTAAAATATGAACACTTTGTGTGTGTGTGTGTGACTTCTATTATCCACTATCATTAAATTCATTCCAAATCAATTTCTTTAGTTTATAAATTTTAAGGATTCCACTTAACAAATGATTCCTCTATTTATTAAGTTAAAAGTCTTGCATTATGTGTAAGAAAATTTTCAACTAATAGCTCTAAATCCATCCCTGGTCTCTCAGAAACTATTAGGTGATTTGATTCAAAACCTAGTTTAGAAAATGTTTTCCAACTAAAAATCAAACCAAAAAATCAAAGATGAGTGATCAAGTCACCTTAACATTAAGAACAAAATCAAAAATCACTATCATTAAATAATAGAATATCATATATACAAATCAAAGGGAACACATAGTATTTTCTTACGTAGATGTCCATGAGTTATCTTTCTTATATCAATTTTAATTTTAATTTCAAAATTTAAAATTTAATAATAATAGAATAAACTATTTTTTATTAAAAAAAATTCACACATGAATTTAAAAAACAAATTTATTGACTTATTTAACATTAAATTTATTAACCTATTTAACACTATTAATATAAAATAAATTATTAAATATACTAATAAACTAAATCAAACTTTTAAAATGATCAAATCATACTTAAAAAAATTTATAATAAATAACAAATTAACTTCTTTTTTTTGTCGTCCCTGGAATATCTAGGGTCGATAGCAATGACTATCTCAAGATTTAACGCGGTTGCATACACAAGGCAAGATTTGAACCCCTAACCTTATTTATGGATGGATCAACTCCTACCACTGAACCACACACTTGAAGTTCAATAATAAATTAAACTTAAACTTTACATACTAAACCTATATATTCAACGTATCACATAATTTATTAACATTCTTAGTCATAAACGATAATCTTAGTAGACTCAACAATGTCTGTGGTTTGTTGAAATAATAATAATAAATAAATGAGCCAATGAAAAAACAGCACCTTCAAATGGAGCAAGAAGAAGATGGGCTGAAAAGTAAGAGAAGCCCAGGCCCAGAAGCACGAGTTCTGTGACTGACTCCAAAATGCACCGTTCCATTGGCCATTTATATACACCATCGGAAAGTGAGCAAAACCTGAAGAAGTTAAGCGAGGTACAGTGGTGACCGTCGTTGGAAATGGCCGGTAAAGGAGGAGCGACTCCGGCGACATACTCGCCGTCGCCGACGACCGATAAAAAGAAACCACCGCTTCTCAAGGAAGATTGGGTTCGGCCCGATGGCCGCGGTTTCCACCAGTGCAGACCTGCGTGTAAGCCCCACTCTGTCTTTCTTCTCAATGAAATTGCAATCTGACTAAACGCTTCGTCATTATATCACGTGATGCTTCCGTTTTATTAAATTATTATTTCTCTTTGCTTTCTTCGATGTACTGTTAAGGTTTTCATGTGTATAATGATTTTTGACAATGAACTGTTTGAATTAATGCCGTTTCCTGCTAGAAACATTTTGTGGATAGGTTTTCCTCGTTCTTTTCAAATCAATGAACGAATGCTCCACAATGCCGTGGTTTTATTTTGAAATTGAGAGAATCTAAGAGTTTTCCTGGTAGACATTATTCATTTGTTGAATTTAGAAGCATTGGTGAAGCTCAGCTTGCCAAACAGCGTTTTCTAGGATATGGATTTTTAGTGATTCTCATATACGATTATGTATACAAGCAATGAGCTTGCACCTGGCAAAGATTACTGTAGCTTTTATCCCGGAAGTAAAGGCCTATACCTGCTGGATTAGTTAATGAGCATTTGTTTTGACCACTCCAAACGGAGTGCCTTATGCCTGGTATAGTGGTATTGGACCTCTTGCAAGATCTACCTATTGTGCATAGGATGTTCAGTACTTATCATGAACCAATTTAAGAGAGATTCTAAATGTTCCAAGGATAGATGGTGCTTTGTTCATTGGTGATGTTCCTTACCCTGTAAGGAATACAGACGACCCTGGATTAGGGCTAGATCGCATTTGTAATTGACCCAGTTATTAATTGATGAAGGTGATTCTGGTCCAACGAGTCACCTTGATCCAGTTGCCACTGGGATCATATCTGGGCTACCTGGTTCTGTCCAACCTGATATTGATCATATATGGCTTGAAATTATTGCAAAAGGGGGAGCTCCTGTTTGTCATGCTAGATGTATGCCTGTTGGAAAAGGGTTAGGGACTGAGATTCCTTACGTTGTAGATTGCACTACTAGGACTGGATATTTGAGTCAAATTCATCCTTACAAAACCGGGTAGTAAGGTGAGGGGTGCCTAAGCTTTATAAGCTCTTATTAGGTACCAAATATATAGTCATTGTGGAACTTGAGCTTTTTCCATACCTCCCCCCCTTCTTACCAACGCTATTAGACTTGGTATATAGATAATATGGTAGGTGACGCAATAATGGATAGACTCTGATACCATGTTAGAAAATTGTGTGGTAAAAAAAGAACTCAATTTTCGTTCATCTAAGGAGTTTTTTATATACAGTGAGGTAAATTAATGCAACTGAAATAACAGAAAGTGAACCTAATTCTAATTGTCATCATCTCATCGAAGTTGTTAATTTATCAGCTAACAGAAGACTAAATAACTTCTAATCATTGAATGAACTGTTAGAATCCCTTATTTTCTTTGAAATGCTAATTGGTTACACTAGTTTTTGACAAGCACTTCGATATTTGGTGACATGCAGTTTTCAGGACTGGTGCTGTGAATGCTGCATCTGGATCTGCTTATGCTGAGTTTGGAAATACCAAGGTCATAGTATCTGTGTGAGTGGCTCTTTTATCTCATAAATGTGTCACTTAGTTAAGTTAGCTTGCTAAGGTTTGTTTCTTCTGGATTTGTTGTTTGTTATGCTCCCTGCCTAATGTGTATATTTTATTTGTATTTTTTTTAGATTTGGGCCAAGAGAGAGCAAGAAGGCGATGATTTACAGTGATATAGGACGTTTGAATTGTAATGTTAGCTTTACAACTTTTGCAACTCCAGTTCGAGGGCAGGTATATGAAAGGCTGTGTAACTTTTTCCATTTTGTGTTCTTCTGCTTATTGATCTTTTGAAGTAGCATTTAATATGTTAAATCTCACAAAGTTAGGGTTCAGACCACAAAGAGTACAGTACGATGCTTCATAAAGCTTTGGAGGGTGCAATAATACTGGAAACTTTCCCCAAAACAACGGTGGATGTTTTTGCATTGGTGCTGGAATCTAGTGGCAGTAAGCATACAATTTCATATTGATTTTCTATTTGATGTATGTTTGGTTTGGTGGTGGCACCACCAAAATCAAATTTTCACTGTAGAAATCCTGATGCATTGGTACCTTCAACATGAAAAAATAATTTCTCGGTTTTTTTCACCACACTGCTGAACGAAACACACTA